CTTCTCCGGTGTGACGCTCGCGGCCGGCGTGGCCGCCTTCTCCGGCGTGTTGCCCCGTGACGACGCCGCGTCTGCGGCGGGCGGCCCCCGCCTCGGCGGCCGCCGCTCCGGCAGGGCCGCCATGCAGCCGGCCCGCGCCAGCTCCTCCAGCAGTCGCTCCTCGCGAGCGGCGAACACTGGCCATCGCTCGGACGTCCATTCCCTGTGCTTTTTTCGGCTTCGTGAAAAGATTTTTTTCGCCAAATCATCAAGGATGATCCTCGATGGTCCTCGATGATCCTCGATGATCCTCGATGCCAAGAACATATCCGCACGGTGGGTTCGTGCGGCCTTGGCGCGCGCACAGTCTTCTTGACACAACGTCGATCGTTCAGCCTGGAGAACCGAACGCGGCCCCGATCGTTCCAGGTTGAATTCCGTCGAGTCCCGGGGCGTTCCCGTCCCTCGGGTGGCTCTCCACCATGCGGAGCTCAGCCTTGAACGCCCTCGCTGGCGCCGCTGGCGCACCATCGCCGCATGAACCTACCGCATCCGTGCCCTGGCGGTTTTCGGACGGGGCCAGGACGAGGATAAATCCGTTCCAGAGCGTTCTGGAGTGCTCTCAGAGCGTTCCAGAACGCTCTGAGAAGGCCGCGGCGCCCGAGCCATCCTCCCGAGCCGCCGGATCTCAGAGGTTCTCGATTTATCCCCACCCGAATTTATCCTCGTCCAGCCTTTGTCTTCACGGTCTGGATTTATGTTGCTCACATCGTACTTAAGGACCACATCCAAGAAATAACTCCGAGCACCCTGGAAAAGTGTCGAAATAGTGTCGAAACAATGTCGGCCGAGTGTCTCCCAGGGCCCGACACGTGAAAACCCTCGAGTTTCGGTACTTTTTTGGTGCTCGAAATTCTTTCTGTAGGTTGGAACATCATAAAAATGAATTCCAGAGCGCGACCCCGCGAATACGTGGTCGCACGGATGCGTCCCGCGCGGGAAGGCACCCGCAAATAACACGCCCTGTATCCGTAGGGTCGCGGCCCCTGCGCGCCCAGCCAGCGAGGGCAGAATCACGGGTCGGGCATGCCCTCGTACAGGCGGGTTTTGGGCGAAAAACGAATCATATTCAACACAGACCCCGAAATTGTCAAACCTAGGATTAAAAAACAAATGGTCCCCACATTATTTTTTATGTTTGAATCTTCCTCCTGAGGCCCGACGTCAGCATGCGGGTACGGATCTCGTTGTCGCCCCCGAGCTCCTGCAATGCCGCGCTGGCCGCGTCCAGGAAGGAGCCGCGGTGCAGGCCGCCCTCCTCGGGGAGCGGCCCGAGCGTGCGGCGGGGAGCGGTGGAGATCGGACCAGCACCGGGAGGAGGGAGGCATCGACCTGGAGACAGAAACATCCTCGCTGGTGGATCTGAAAGGGCAAACATCCAGCCCCAGAGCAACCACACTGGCGAGCGAAGTCGTTTCATAAACGCGCCCAAAGGAGGAATCGAACGAGGCAGGGCTGTTCAAGAAACGCCCCCAGGGCCGTGTAGTAAACGCCAAATGTCTTAGGTCGGGCATGTCCCCCTACCGACGGATTGTGGACGAAACATGAAAACAAAACAAACGCTTAAACATAGTAAATAACGTATTAAACAAATCGTCCCCATACTATTTTTTGACTCTCTTTGAATCTTCCTCGGGGGAGGGCGGGGTTCGCTTCGCTCGGGAGCTCCCGAGCGAAGTGAACCCCACCCTCCCCCTCAGAAATCGCGGGGGGTAGGGGTAGGGTTCGCATGTGGCCCCCTAATGGCGAAGTCGTCTGAGCCGATCCGATGTTTGCAATACGGTGGAGGCCAGTCCACAAGAAACCGCCCACAAGAGACCCAACCCTGAGACCCCAGGACGTCCACTGACTTTTGGGTGTGGGAACGTCACGGTTTCCATCGCAAAACCATCGGACCCCCAGAAGCCCAGGGGACCCTGGAGGCACGCAGGGTGTTTGTTGGCATGGGTCTCCACTGTATGCGGCCCGACAGCTCATCCAGGTGGAGTTTCGTCCCGGATCAATGTCTGATCGTCCGGGGGCCCGAAACCAGACCCGGAGGGCCGAAATCGGGGAACCAAGAGCATTGAGAACTCAGACTGTCGGAGATCCTGGCTGCCCTCATTGGAGGCCTCCTAGATGGGTTCCGAGCAAGTGGAGTCTGAGGATCGCAACGCATTCCCAATCCATCGGCGACGCTTGCCATGCATCTGGCCATCGCTCGGACGTCCATTCCCCGTGTTTTTGTTCGGTTTCGTGCGTGTTTTTTTCGTGAAATGATCAAGGATGGTCCTCGATGGTCCTCGCCGAAAGAAAAATGCACACGTCCGAGCGATGCCAGGGCATCAGCGACGCCAGCCTGGAGAAAATCAGGCTCCACATCGAGCCGCACCGCCGCCGATGCGCCGCGCTCCTCCTCCGACCCCATCTGCCACTCAGCCTCCGACTGATCCCTATCCCCACGATTGATAGGCCCCGAGGCGATGCCAATCTCAGGGACGCACCCTCAGGGACTGGGGGAATCCTCAAGATCGGCAGCGAGATGAGGTGATGCCAATCCTGGGGATAGGGACAAGTTTCGGGTTGGTGAATTTGCTCCGACCTCCAGCCTTGGAGGCCCAGACTCACGACTGGGGAAACCAAAAGGTACCGATACCACTACTCCCCAGACCTCTCCTGGGGTGCATTATGACCAGAATTTCGAGGCGAATCCGGCGGTGGCGACGAGGGCCTCCCAGGAAAAGCCAATCAGGGGAAAACGAGGGAAGAGTAACGGTATGGGTACCTTCCCTCCTCCGAAAATCTGCTCCGACCCCATCTTTGAAGGGGCCCTGGGACACACAAATAAATACACACAAATAAACATATTCCCCATATTTTCCTCCTATATTTTCTGGGTTCTTGTCTTCCCCCCCACTTCCCATAGTTTCCCATACTTTCTAGGGAATCGCCAATTAATTGAGTCTGTGTGCTTCTTTCCCTCCTGAATCTTGGAGGCCCAAACTCTTGGCGGTGGCATCCTGCAGAGCCGTGTCCTGCAGCTCCGCGCCGGCCGCGCCCGGGGCCCACGGCGCGAACTCACCGACGACGGCCGGGACCGCATCCCACACGAGCACCGCGCCAGCCAGGCCTGGCGGGAATGCGGGGGGCTCGGCGGCCAAGAGATACCAAGCGATGCCAAACTACGGCCTGTACTGGTCAGGCCGCTTGACGAGGAGGCGCGTGGTATGACTTGGTTTCGCCTGGAAGCGAAGGCGGGGTAGGTAAGTCACGCTCTGAGCCATATCTGGCGTGGTGGAGGCGGGGCCCGAGGGAAGCCGGGTCCTGGACACCGGGGCCTTCCCGGGGGCCCAGCGCTCCATCCCGAGTCGCCCTGTGACAGGCACAGGGGGCGGGCGTTGCACGTAGCACGGACGACGATAGGGGGCGAAGAGGCCTGGGGCGGGCAGTGCGCGCGCTCGCCCAAGGGGCCTCGCCGAAGGCGTGGGCCATCGGCGCTCCTGGATTTGGGTCGGGCATGTCCCCCCGCAAACGGATTTTGGACGAAAGAAATTCGAAATGTCCAAGATCATTGCCAACAAATATCCAACAAATGCTGAAAAATCGTCCCCAGACTATTGTTTTACCATTTCTGCATGCTCCTCCTGTGGAGGGACAGGCCCGACTGACTCCTGGATGCACGTGTCGCCCTCCCCATGGGCTCTTAACCCCCTTCGTCGCCTCGGTGGGGCGGCCGGCCCCGCCGATGCCGCCCCGGCGCAGGCCAGCGGAGCGGGTTCCTCGCCATCGCTCGGACGGCCACCGTTCATCCCTCGGCGTCGTGCGTGAAATTTCTTGTTCGTGATGTTACAATATGGATTGCGTGAGGAGGGGGTGCAAATCATGACCAGCGGTACGTGCGAGGCCCGGGGGGGGGCAGGGACGTAATAAAACGAGAAGAGGCGCCATGGCCCCCGCCATGAGATCCACCCCCCCCCGAGTCATCACCCACCCCTTGGCCGCCCTCCAACGCGAGATGGCCCGAGAGGCTCCTCGATGGTCCTCGCCGAGAAAAAAATCGATGCACACGTCCGAGCGATGCCGAGAAGGTTCCTCGATGGTCCTCGCCGAGGAAAAAAATCGATGCACACGTCCGAGCGATGCCGAGAAGGCTCCTCGATGGTCCTCGCCGAGAAACAAACAAAAATAATACACACGTCCGAGCGATGCCGAGAAAGCTCCTCGATGGTCCTCGCCGAGGAAAAAAAACGATGCACACGTCCGAGCGATGCCGAGGTGAAGGGCGGGATGGAGCGCACCGGGCCGGGGGAAGCAGCTCGCGGCGGGGGGCCTCGGACATGTCTCGGCCCATGGGGTTCAGTCGGGCGCGTCCCTATGCGAAAAAAAATACACTGAAAATACCCACAAAAAGTAAAACAAATCGTCCCTGACTAGTTATTTTATTATTTTTTAGCACTCCTCCTGTAGAGGGATACGCCCAACGAAAACTGGACCGTCAAAATCCAGGCTGGGCTCGTCACAAAGCGCAGGCGAACACGAGATCTGGCGCACTCGAGTCTTACGCTTCCCCATTCTTCTCTTACCCATCTCGATCGTACCGGCGATCTTTTTGAAACTGCCTCCTAGGCCCGAACGGCGCCAATCGCAAACCACACCCCAGCATCACCGTACCCTGGGTTACTTAATAAGCGTGGGGGGGTACCCCCCCGACGGGGGTCAACCTCGCCTCGTCGTCGCGCCGAAACGGGGGTCGGAACGCTTTCTGCGCGGTGGCTGCCCGCGACGGGGGTCGACGTGGGGCTGTCGGCGGGGGTGGCGCCCCCCCGACTCTTCTTAAAGAAACTCGAAATACCCATTGTAGCCGCCGACTCGTACCCATCTCGATCATGCCGGCAATCTTTTTTGAGCAGGGACCGCCAGTCCTGGCATTCCTATAGACCTACCACGAAATGTTCTTAGAACCCAAACATGTTCTAAAAGCAGAAACAATGTTCCTAGAACAAGAAACCCGATGTGTTAAAACAAGACAGCCCCAGCCAGAAATGTTCTGAGAACCTTTCGCGCAGACCACAGAAGGCTCTTAGAACATTATTTGGTGGGCCTATGGGCGAGCCAGGACGCTTCGCCACTGCTTGAGAGGAGCGAGCGAGCGAGCGGAATCCGAGAGGCAGCAGGGTCAATCCGGCCCAACGGGCGGAGGCGCTCACGAGCCCCCCCTCTCCTCCCAAGGGCCTCTAAACCTTGGAGCGCGGACCCCGCAGCCGTCCGCACTGCAGTCGGGCCCAGGCCAGACATCCCTCAAGAACATGAGACCCTCCACCAGCCAATCATCATCATAATCATCATCATCATCAGCAGCAGCAGCATCATCATCATCATCAGCATCATCATCATCAGCATTATCATCAACATCATCATCACCATCACCATCACCATCATCATCATCAGCATCAACATCATCATCATCAGCATCATCAACATCACCACCAGCATCATCATCATCATCATCATCATCATCATCATCATCATCATCATCATCATCATCATCATCATCATCATCATCATCATCATCATCATCATCATCATTATCAGCATCATCATCATCACTTCGCCAAGACGCTTCGCCACTGCTTGACCTTTCGAGACTGCCCCCGCGCACCCGCGCCGGCCGGCTCCGCGGCGCTGTCCGGCTCCCGCTCGGGCGTGGGCTGCCGGGGCGCCACGGACGCCGAGGCGGCTGCCCACGGCGCCGGCGCGGCCTGCCGCTGCTGCGGCGCCTGGCGACCGGTCGCTTGGCTTAGGTCGGGCGTGTCCCTCTACAGGGGGATCTCGGAAGAAAAAGTAAACATGCTCAAGAAATACTCCAACAAATATGCAAAAATACAAAAACATCGTCCCCTGACTATTTTTAAACTACTTTTGAATATTCCTCCTGCAGGGGGACACGCCCGACTTAAAGCGAGGGGGGAGGTGAGAAGGAGAAGGCCCTCTCCGGCGGCGGCGGGGCTTCTCAGGCGCCCTCTGGCCTTCCGAGAGGTTTCCTGCGTCTTCGGGGAAGACTCATAACACTTCTCGGAGGCCATGAAACTTCGCAGCCTTCTGAGGAGGCCCGCCCCCTCTCACTTCTCCCCCAGGCTCGCCGCCGACGGTCGCTTGGCACTCCTGGGCAACGAGGGGTAACGTCAGGGGAGGGGACCAGCTCACGGGAGGAAACATCAAGCTGGAAGCGGCGATGCGTCCCCGATATATCGACGATAGCCCCCCGATGGCGAATCCGAGCGTCACTGGCCGTGCCGTCGTCGTCAACATCGTCTCCAGCATCGCTACTATCATGATCGTGCCTACTGTTGTCGACGTTGCCATGATGCGCGGGCTAGCGCGAGAGATGCACCAACCAAAACCAAACATTCATCGCGATCGCCGCCGCACGGGTTTTGCAAACCAAGTTGCGGGCAGGTGGGTGGGATGATTGCGCGAATAGTAGGAGTTGTCAACTCACTGCGAACAGACATTAGTTCCACTACACAAGTTGCACCATGTGTATTGCACAGAGTAGATTGCACAACATTTATTGCACAACTTGAAGACACAACAAAGATGGTGCCACTTCTATTGTTTCACACAGACTGCACTACAGAAGTTGCACCACAGATATTGCACTACGTAGTTAAACACTGTTGATTCTCCTTTCCAAGAAGAGAATAGACTCTACCCCCCCTGGCTTTATCGGCCCCCCTTTCGGGTAAGTAAATCATAGATGATTATGACCACATGTCCATCCGAAATATGAATGTACAGGGAAGCTGGAAAAAGTAGAAGTTGGAAATTCCTTGAAAGTACCTTCATTGACGGGGTAAAATCGCATCTGGCCGAGGCCATTGGTAGGAATAAATCTTTGGGGCAGCGAGGCAACCGTTGGAAAAACTGTTTGGTTGGCATGGGTATTTCGCAGTAGGGGCGGGGCCAGCGTTGAAAATAGGCAAAAGCTGAAAAGAGTAAAGGGCCAGCCCCAGACACTCTTTCCAGCTTCCCTGTACACTATCCTAGGGGGACCGGTATCGCTCCCCCTGAGGTTCCCTCGTAACAAAACAATGCACGGGGATACCTTTTGTTCTAACATAACACTTGTGCACAAATCCCTTGCAACAAATGAGACGAAGTGCACACGCGCGCGTCGTCGCGCGCGCATGCCGAAATCCTTCAAAAACCTTCGGTGTCGGAAGGATTTCGCAATCGAGTTTCCAAAAAACATGCAAAAACACAGGGTTTCGCAACACTGCTTTGCTAAAAAAGCTTACGCGCGAGCTCTTGCGAAATCTTAAGAAAACCATAGGTTTTTCAAGATTCTCACAAAATGCTACAAAACGGGCTTCGCGCGCGTATGTCGAAATCTGTCGCGAGTGCCGTCGCGAGAATCCTCTGCAAAAAATGAAGCGAAGTGCAGACGCGGGCGTCGTCGCGCGCGTATGCCGAAATCCTTCGAAACCCATCGGTTTCGGAAGGATTTCAAAATCGTGCCCAAAAAACCTACAAAAACAAAATGTTTCGCAACACGGATTTTCAACAAAAGCGTGCGCACGCGCTCTTGCGTCGTCGTCGTCGTCGCCGCCGTCCTCCCTCCTCCCGCGTCGTCGTCGTCGCCTACGTCGTCCTCTGTCTTCCCTCATGTTCGTCGTCGTCGTCGTCCTCTTTGGCGTCGTGGTCGTTTCTGTCGTCGTTGTCGTCCTTCCTCCTCCTCCCTCGTCGTCGTCGTCGTACGTCGTCGGCGTCTCGTCGTCGTCCCTCCTATTTCGTCGCCGTCGTCGTCGCCGTCGTCGTCGTTGTCGTCGTCGTTGTCGTCGTCGTCTTCCCTCCTCCCTCGTCGTTGTCGTCCTCGGCGTCGCCGTCCTTCCTCCTTCTTCGTCGTTCGCGTCGTCGCCATCCTCCCTCCTCCCTCGTCGTTGTCGTCGTTGTCGTCGTTGTCGCCGTCGTCGTCCTCCCTCCTCCCTCGTCGTTGTCATCGTTGTCGTCGTTGTCGCCGTCGTCGTCCTCCCTCCTCCTTCGTCGTCGTCTTCGTTCGGCGACGTCGTCGACGTCGTCTCTGGCGTAGGCGTCGTCGTCGTCGTCTTCGTCGTCGTCGACGTTGTCGTCGTCGCAGCCGTCGTCGTCGGCGTCGTCGACGTCGTCGTCGGCGGCGTCGTCGTTGTCGTCGTCGTCGTCGGCGTCGTCATCGTCGTCGTCGTCGGCGTCGGCGTCGTCGTCGTCGGTGTCGTCGTCGTTGTCGTCGTCGTCGAAGTCGTCGAAGACGTCGTCGGTGCCGTCGTAGTCGTTGTCGTCGGTGTCGTCGTAGTCGGTCTTAAGAGGTTTTGCAAACCAAGTTGCGGGTGGGTGGGTGGGATGTTTGCAAGAGCATGGGATGTCTCAAATCATGGGTAAAAATCAAATGCGCACCATCGACTGCGCCACATTGATTGGTAGAACTAGCTACTTTTTGGGGTCCACGCTGGCTAAACACCAAGCCTTCCCAGAAAAAACAAAGCACTTCGCAAAGGCGCGAGGGCTTCTGAGAAGCCCCGCCGCCTTCCGAGAAGGCCTCATCCTTCTCACTTCGCCCCCAGGCTCGCCGCCGAACTAAGCCCTGGGAGTCCTGATCAATAGAGGCCTCCTAGATGGGGTCGGAATACATGGAGTCGGAGGATCGCGCCGCATCGCCGATGCTTCGCTGATATGTCGGCGACGTCGGCGGTGTATCGGCGATGTCGGTTAGCACATCGAGCCGCATCGGCGATGTCTCGGCGATGCAGCACGAGTTCCGGCCCCATCGCCAGGCTCGCCGCCGAACTGAGCCCTGGGAGCACCGATCATTAGAGGCCTCCTAGATGGGGTCGGAGTAGACGGGGTCGGACGATCGCGCCGCATCGCCAATACTTCGCCGACATGCATCGGCGACGTCGGCGGTGTATCGGAAACGCCGGCGAGGAGAACATCGGGATCCACATCGAACCGCATCGGCAATGCATCGGCGGTGCGGCGCGATCCTCCCACCCCATCCCCAGCCTCGCCGCCGAACGAAGCACTGGAAGGCCTCGATCTTTAGAGGCCTCCTAGATGGGGTCGAAATAGATGGGGTCGGAAGATCGCGCCGCATCGCCGATGCTTCGCCGTTGCAGCGGCGACGTCGGTCGCGTATCGGCGACGCTGGCGTTGAGAAAATCGGGCATCATATCGAGCCGCATCGGCGATGCATCGGCGATGCGGCGCGATCCTCTGACCCCGTCCCCAGGCTCGCCGCCGAACTAAGCCTTGGGAGCCCTTATTACCAGGGGCCTCCCAAATGATGGGCCAATTATCCGCCACCACTACCAGAAGACGGGGGAGAAGAGAGGATGGGGAGATCCTCCTCCTCCTCCTCCTCCTCCTCCTCCTCCTCTTCCTCCTGGTGAAATCGGGGATCTGCTGACCCGGGTCAAGCCAAACCCCGGTCAGTCGGGCCTTGTAGAATCCTGCACGATCCTGCAAGATCCTGCACCCAAACCCAGGTCAATGCGACGGATCCTGCAATATCCTGTGCCCAAGCCCGGGTCAATGCGACCCTAACCCTGCAGAATCCTGCAAGATCGGGCGCTCTGGCTGGCCCCCGTTTGCATTGACCCCCGTCTCCTGAGCCCCGATGGAAAACCGACCCATCAATAGCCAGGGTCGGAGGGGGCCTATTGAGCGTTTGTTTTTATTCGGCGTTTCGACATTGGGCGGAAAGGGGGGGGGGAAGGGGAGAGGTATGGCTCCAGACCTATGCTTAGCGTGACTGCTTGCAGGAGTGCTGCCTCTGGGGGAAACTCCACCCGCTCGAGACAGGCGCCAAACGACAGCCAGGATCTACTCTATATGGGGTGGGGGGAAACAGGGGGTTTGGAGCCCGCGCCGATCGGCAAACTAGAGACCTCCTAGATGGGGCCGGAGTAGATGGGGTCGGAGGATCGCGCCGCATCGCCGATACGTCGGCTGCACACCGCCGATGCCGCGGCGATGCATCGGCGACGCATCGTCGATGTCGGCAATGCATCGGCGACGTCGACGTGAAGAAAATCGGGCTCCACATCGAGCCGCATCGGCGATGCATCGGCGATGCGGCCCGATCCTCCGACCCCATCTACTCCGAACCCATGTAGGAGGTCCAGACAAACCAATGGAAAAAGATCACCTAAGATCATGTCGGCTCAGGGCCGCCTCCGCCCCGTGCCCTGCCTCGGCCAGCGGCGGCGGGGCCGCCGGGCCGGAGCTCGGCCCCGGGCCCGGGGCGCTGGGCTGCTGCTCGTCCGGGGGCCCGGCGCCGAGGGGCGCAGCGGCGCCCTCCTCTTCCGGGGGGAGGGGGAGCCAGGAGGGGCCTCCCTCCTCCCCTCCTCCCCTCCTCCTCCTCCTCCCCTCCTCCTCCTCGTCCTCCTCCTCCTCGTCCTCCTCCTCCTCCTCCTCCTCTTCCTCTTATTCGTCTTCGTCTTCTTCTGCTTCTTCTTCTGCTGATTCTTCTTTTTCTATTAGTGTTATTATTATTATTATTATTATTCCTCCTCCTCCTCCGCCTCCTCCTCCTCCTCCTCCTCCTCCTCCGTCCTTGTCCCCTCCTCCGCCGCCGCCGCCGCCGCCTCCCGCCGCCTCCGCCTCCGCCTCCGCCTCCGCCTCCTCCTCCTCCTCCTCCTCCTCCTCCTCCCCTCTCCTCCTCCTCCTCCTCCTCCTCCTCCCCCTCCTCCTCCTCCTCCTCCCTCCTCCCTCCTCCTCCTCCTCCTCCCTCCTCCTCCTCCTCCTCCTCCTCCTCCTCCTCCTCCTCCTCTCCTCCTCCTCCTCCTCCTCCTCCTCCTCCTCCTCCTCCTCCTCCTCCTCCTCCTCCCTCCTCCTCCCTCCCCCTCCCCCTCCCCCTCCCCCTCCCCCTCCTCCTCCTCCTCCTCCTCCTCCTCCTCCTCCTCCTCCTCCTCTCCTCTCTCCTCTCCTCCTCCTCCTCCTCCTCCTCCTCCTCCTCCTCCTCCTCCTCGCTCCCCGCTCCCCGCTCCCTCATCCCTCCATCCTCCATCCCTCATCCCTCCATCCCTCCATCCCCCATCCTCCATCCCTCATCCCTCCCCTCCATCCCTCCATCCTCCATCCTCCATCCCTCCATCCCTCCTCCTCCTCCCTCCTCTCCTCCTCTCCTCCCCCTCCTCCTCCTCCTCCTCCCCTCCTCCTCCTCCTCCTCCTCATCCTCTCCTCCTCCTCCTCCTCTCCTCCTCCTCCCCCTCTCCTCGTCCTTGTCCTCCTCCTACTCCTGCTCCTCCTCCTCCTCCATCCCGCTTCCTCCTCCTCCTCCTCTCCTCCTCCTCCTCCTCCTCCTCCTCCTCCTCCTCCATCCCTCTTTCCCCTCCTTCTCCTCCTCCTCGTGATCCTCGTCCTCCTCCATCCTCCTTCTTCCTCTTAAGAAACTCCCCCCTGTCGCGCTCCGAGACGTTTGAGACTTCCTCGCCATTTACCATCCTGAAGCGTCAAACTTGCAACAGGCTCACGGATAGGGGGGCGGGTGGTTTTCAAAATGTGGTTCTCGCTTCAGCGCCGCGCACATGCGTCTCACAAAAGTCTGCAAGAATTCACGGATGCAGGGCGGGCCGTTTTCAAACATTCCTTTCAAACATGGTTTAAGAACTTCTCGGATGGGGGGCGGTACCTTTTTTAACTATGGCTCTGGTCATTGCGCCGGGCACACTCACTCGCTACAACAGTTTGCAAGAGTTGCACACGTTGAGGGCAATTCCTTCTCAAAATGTTGTTCGCGTCTGATGGCCGCGCAGACTCGCCACGTCAATTTCAATGAATATTATGGCTGGCTTCCCGGCAATGGTGTTTGGTAATGATTTAGAACCGCCAGGGCGCGACAATCACGTTGACTCGCGGTGTTGACGTCCGAGAAATGGTGTTCTGGCACGACTTACGATGGCCAGGTCACACCAGTGACGTTGATTCGACGCATGGAAGGCCGAGGAATGGTGCGCTGGCACAGTTGAAGATTTTTTGATGATTGTCTTCCAACAAGGCTCTTCCCCCAGTGAAGCGAAATCCTTATAGGAGCCTACGAAGGGGGAAGGTGAAAGGGTTTCGTGCAACCTCGTTGGTGAACCTTGGGTTTACACTGGTGCTCCTCCTCCTCCTCCCCTCCTTTTCTTCCTCCTCCTGTTCCTCTTTCTCCTCCGCCTCCTCCTCCACCTTCTCCTCCTCCTCCTCCTCCTCCTCCTCCTCCTCCCTCCCCTCCCCCTCCCCCTCCCCCCTCCCCCCCTCCCCCTCCCCCATCCCCCCCCCCTCCCCCCCGCCTCCTTGTCCCAACTCTCTCATCTCCCCTCTCTCTTCCCTCCTCCATCCGTCCTTCTTCTCAATAGCTCCTCCCTGTGGCACCCCGAGGCCAGTCGAAAGGGCGGGACGAGCGTTTCGCCTGAGACTTCCTCACCCTCTAAGATCCTGAAGCGTGAAAGCCGCAAGGGTCTCACGGATTGAGTGCGGCTCGCATTAGAGTTTCAAATGGGTGGCGGCTCGCTTTTCAAGTGCGGAGCTCGCCTGAACGCCGCGCGCATTCGTTTTGAAAACTCGTGGAGCAACTTCACGGAAAGAGAGCGCTTCCTTCTCAAAAAAGGGTCCTGCGTTGGCGCCGCGCACGCTCGCTTCGAAAACATGCAAGAGCTTCACGGATGGAGGGCAGCCCTCTTTCAAAAGGTGGCTTTGGCGTTAGCGCCGCGCACACTCGTCTGAACAGGTTGCAAGAGTTGCACGGATAGAGAGCGGTTCCTTTTTCAAAACGTGGCTCTCGCCATCGCGCCGCGCACATTCGTCTTCACACTTTGCAGCAGTCTTAAGGGCTCTCACGGTTAACGTCCCAGAAACGATGCGTTGGCATGGTGTAGGAAAGTCACGGCGCACAAATCATTTTGATTCACAATGTTGAATTGAAATACTGGGAATTGAAATCTGGCACGACTCAGGATCGTCAAGACGCAACAGTAACGGTGATTCTCGGCGTTGGCGTTCCGACAATTTTGTTCTGGCGTAATTCCGAATATCAAAACGGTTGCCTTCCAGCGGGGCACCTCCCTCAGTGAAAAGAACTCCTCGTAAGAGGCCTACGAAGAGGGAGCTTGAAGGGACGGTGTATGGCAATAGCTTTGATGAGTATTGGGTTTATGCTGGTCCTCCCAGGAATCGCAATCTGGCACGATTAAGGATCGTCAGGACGCAACAGTCAGGTTGATCGGTGGCGCTGGAGTCCCAAGAGCAACTAATGTTGTGGCGCGCTTCGGGATCTTCAAATGGTTGGCGTCCAACGACGCAGTTCCCTCAGTGGAAATGAACCGCTGTGGGGGTCTATGAAGAGGGAGCTTGGAGGGAAAATTTACTCCATCATCAGACTCTTGGGTGTACACCGGTCCTCTTCGTCCTCCTCGCCCCGCCTGGGGGCGTCCGGACCCGGGCACCCAACCTTTTACAACAACGAAGACGGAGGTGTTGCGCCCGAGCGGCCTCCAGTGAGCGCCCAAGTGGGCTTCCACGCTGCGCGCGCGAGGGGAGACAGACCACCTGGCCCCCACGAGCGCCCCCCATAATCTCTCGGGGAGCAAAAGTAAGCGCCTGGCCGTCCGAAACACCCATCCCTCCTTCCTGCGCGGGAGAATGGGGGGGCGGAGGCCTCATCTGCATTCCCGGGTACCCCAGTACGGTGGAGGCTCGACCGCAAGAAACCTTCCACGAGAAACCCAACCCTGAGACCCCAGGGCGTCCATGGATGTTTGGCGTTGGAGCGTCTCGCCTTCCATGGCAGCACCCTCGAAACCGAAGAAACCCGGGGCACCCTGGAGGCAGGCAGGGTGCTTCTCGGCATGGGCCCCCACTGTATATCAACGAACAAGATACCGAGTGGAGCCTCGGCGGCGCGCCGAGAAGGGGGGAAGAAACGAGCCTGCTCAGACGACGGCGGGGCTTCTCAGAAGCCCCTTTCTGAGATGCCATCGAAACCGAAGAAACCCAGGGCACCCTGGAGGCGAGCAGGGTGCTTCTTGGCATGGGCCCCCACTGTATGTCAACGAACAAAATGCCGAGCGGAGCATCGGCGACGCGCCGCGAAGGGGGGAAGAAACGAGCCTGCTCAGACAGAGGCGGGGCCTCTCGGAAGCCCCTTTTCTGGCTTTCTGAGATGCCATCTGTGGCTTCGGAAAAGGATTATTACCAGCCTGCCTGGAACATATCCCTATCCCTATGCTGGGCACCTCCTCATCACGATGCCAATCTTAGGGATTCCCTTATTTTGTTGAGGGCGAATCCCTAAGATCGTCATCGCCTTTTGGCGTGTCAATCTTAGGGATAGGGATACGTTCGAGGCTGGTAAGATTAGGCAACTTTCCAAAAGGCCGGAAGCCTTCTGGGGCTGCTGTGCGGGTCCGCCCCCCGTGCCGTCCCCGTCGGCACGCCGCCGAAGGGAGGAACAGGAGGAATCAATGATCAGAGTGAGGAGGCCGAACGGTCATTCACTGTCCCTGGGTGCGTGGCTGAAGTGGAATTCCGCGACGCGAATTCTCGTTCTTGTTGGTGTCGTGATTGTTGTTGTTGTTGGTGGTGGTGTGGGTGCTGTTGTTGTTGTTGTTGTTGTTGTTGTTGTCACCATTGTTGTTGGTGGTGGTGGTGCTGCAGCTGCTGTTGTTGTTGATGCTGCTGTTGTTGTTGATATTGGTGTTGTTTTTAGTGTTGGCTTGGTTGTGTTGCTGGTGGTGTTGTTGGTGGTGTGTTTACTGTTAGTGTTAGTGCTGTTGTTGATGATGCTGTTGTTGTTGGTACTGCTGGTTGTTGTTGTTGCTGTTGGTGTTGTTATTGTAGGTGTTGTTGTCGCGGGTGTTAGTATTGCTGTTGTTAGTGTCGATGTTGTTGTTGGTGTTGTTGGTGTTGTTGTGTTGTTTTGATGGTGTTGTTGGTGTTGGTGTTGTCATTATTGTCGTTGTCGGTGTCGTTGTTGTTGTCGTTGGTGGTGGTGGTGTGTATTATGTTGCGTTTGTTTGTTTGATCGTTTGTTTGTCTGTTGTTATGTTGGCGTCGTCCCACCCGCGACCCACCCCGCGACCCATTCCGCAACCCACCCCACGACCCACCCGCGACCCACCCGCCACCCACCCGCGACCCACCCCGCGACCCGCCACGCGACCCACCCGCGACCCACCCGCGATCCCCGACCCACTCGCCACCCACCCGCGACGCGCGACTCAACCCGCGACCTACCCGCGACCCACCCGCGACCCACCCCGCAACCCGCGACCCACCCGCGACCCATCCCGCGACCTGCGACCCACCCCGCGACCCACGACGC